TATGCATGTGACATGCATGAACAAATGCACGGAGTGTTGGATGGGTGGTTTGGGAGTCAGTGTGCAGGTCCAGGCTAGCTGGTACTGGCTAGGGGTGTTAGTGATGCCTGAGGATGTTTTCAACCCAGAAAGCTTCATCTAGGAGGGCTGTGTGACCTGCCTGGCACTGGTGCAGGTCTGGGTGACCATTGTCTAGAGTGCTGGTCACATTGCCTCCTCTGGTAGTGTGTGGGGGAATGAGTGAGTCACCCAGGCACAGCTGACCCTCACTCTGCCTCACCTCTCACCTTACCCAGTGGGAACAGCAGCTGGGAGGGAAAGATTACTTGAAGGCTGCATTTAAAAAAAAAAAAAAAAAAAAATTATTATGGTAATATATAGGAGTCTCTGAGGGGCACAAATAATAAAACTGGATTACTAACCAAAAGGTTGGTAGTTCAAACCTAGTGGCACCTTGGAAGACAGGCCTGGAGATCTACTTCTGAAAGGTTACAGCCCTGAAAATACTATGGAGCCGTTCTACTCTGAGCACCAATGGGTCTCCAAGAGTCGAATCAACTCAACAGTAATAACAAGCACAACAAAAACATATGTAACAAAAATTATGCCAGTTTAACCATTTTAAGTGTACAATTCAGTGACATTAATTACATTTACCACGTTGTGCAACCATAACCACTATCCATTTCCAAAAGTTTTACATCACCCTGAACAGAACTCAGTATCCCTTCAGCAGTAACTCCCATTCCCTTCTTCCCCATGGTAACCACTAATAAACTCTGCCCCTATGTGTTTGCCCATTCTAGATATTTCATGTAAGTGGGATCATACAATATTTGTCCTTTTGTGACTATTTCACTCAGCGTAATGTTTTCAAGGCTCATCCATGTCATAGCATTTATCAGAATTTCATGGCTGAGTAATATTCTACTTTATGCATGTACAAGGAGCCCTGGTGGCACAATGGTTAAAGTGCTTGGCAGTGCAAATCCTCCAGCCACCACTTAGGACAAAGATGTGGCAATCTGTTTCCATAAAGATTTACAACCTTGGAAACCCTATGGGACAGTTCTATTCTGCCCTACAAGGTAGCTATGGGTCAGGATCAACTTGACAGGAATAGGTATTTTGGTTGGGTATTTATGTATCACATATTGTTTACCTATCTGTTGATGGACACGTAGGTTATTTCCACCTCTTGCCTACTGTGAATAATGCTGCAGTGAACACTGGTATATACATAACCATTCTGAGTGAGACCTGTATTTTTATACCATCATTATACAATTGCTTGCAGTGCCCATAGGTTCTTTTCCTTAAGGCCTAGAACCCCAATTCTCTCAGCCTACCTATAACCCTTCATCTCTGTGTCCAAGTTACATATTAGTCTGATAAGCATTTGTGGAAGTTTACTCTACACCAGGCTCTAAGACCACCCTCTTGACAATGTTAAACAACTTCCCAATGCCCACCTATGCTCCTTCTTGGCTTTTTCTCCATGTCACTTACCACCATCTCCCATACTATATATTTTACTTATTTATTTTTTGTCTGTCTTCCCATTAACAGCAAAAACCTATACCACATTTGCTACATGCCAGGCACTGTTCTAAACTCTCTCTACATAAATTAATGCTTCAGCAAATTATTGTTCCCATTTTGTAAATGTAGAAACCAAGGCACAGAGGGGTTAAGTAACCTACCCATGGTCACCTGTTGCTAAGAAGTGGTGCCAAGGTTGGCTCCTCAGTCCCTGCTCTTAAAAGCCCACAATAATGTCCTGTGAGGGCAGGAAATCTCCTCAGTTGGTTCATTCCTGATTCTCTTGTACCTACAAAAATGCCTAGCACATGTAGGTGCTCAATTAATAGTAAATGAAGAAATGAGTGAATGGATGCTAGACATGGAGGATGTAGAGATGATAGTTGACTTCCAAGAATTCACAGTCTCAACGGACAAATAATTATTGCAGTAGTACATATGGATGGCACCCTGGGAGTCTACCCTGGGAGTCCAGAGAAGGCACATAACTGGCCCCTGGCAGGCAAGGCTTCCCAGAAGACAAAGAGGAGGACAGGCACACAGACCTGCCAACCTTCTTCAAACTCTTCCCTGAGGACATACACACCCTACCTCTTCTTGCTTTTGTACCAGAGGATGATGGTGACTCTGGTGGTGATAATGGAAGGAGAACAGGGTAGCAGTCAGGAGCATGGGCTTTGGGAGAGATGGCCTACAGTGAATCCTCGTTCTGCCAAACATATTTACGTGACCTTGAACAAACTGCTGAATCTTAGGTCTTGGTCTTCTCATCTATAAGATGGGGCTAGCAAATGATATCAACTTCATGGGGTAGTGGAGAGGATTTCATGAGATAGATGTGAAAAGTTCCTAGAACGGTGCCTGGCACAAGGAAGCATCTGTGCCAGGTCCAACCATCATGATAATTACTCTTCTTCCATTTTAAAATGGTTGCCGCTTTTTTGGGGTGGGGGGCGGGATGAATAGGGGAGACAGTTGCAATTAAACATATGATGCTTATTACTGAAGCTTCTCTGCTGTAAAAGGAGCTCTGGTGGTGGAATGGTTAAAACATTTGACTGCTAACCCAAAAGTTGGAGGTTCAAACCCACCAGCCACTCCCTGAGAAAAAGATGAGGTAGTCTGCTTCTGTAAAGATTTACAGCCTGGGGAATCCTATAGGGCAGTTGTACTCTGTCCTATAGGGTTGCTACAAGTTGGAATTGACTTGATGGCAGTGGATGTGATTTTGTTTTGATTCTCTGCTGTGCCTTCTTTCCATTTTCCAGAAATAGCTCAAAGTGGGACTTGTACGTGAAGCTTCATCAGGGCAGGGACTGTGTTTTATTAACTACTGAATGCCCAGTGCTTAGTACAGTACCTGCTACATAGTAACTGCTCAATGAATATTTTCTTGAATGACTGAGTAATTATAATTACTGACTCCCCTAGTCCTCTTATGAGGCTAAACATCCATTGCTTTTGTTTCCATTTTATAGACAAACGACTGAAGGTCCAGCAAGGGTAAGTGACTCGTCCACAAACACACAACCTGTAAGTAGAACAGTCAGACTCAGACTCTAAACCCCATGCTCTTTCCTCCATACTCTGCGACTCTCTGGACTGGACTCCTATACATCATGCCCTATTTTCTGTGGATTTTTTCTAGCTAGCGGGGCCATCCCTGATTGTAGAATCATCTCTGAATTCTATGACTCATATGTGAATCACAAAACTGTTTAATAGTTGAAAGGGACTTTTGATGTCATCTAGACCTCCCACTGACTGTGGAAATTTCCTCTCCAATGTGTACCTAGCCATTACTTGGATGCTCTTAGTGATGGACCACTCATTTTTTCCACTCCCCCCGCCCCCCGCCTTTTGAATTATGAGTTCTATGGGTGGGTCACTTTTAGAGTCAGAAAAGAAGTTCTGCATCCCATGGGCCAAGAGGCCTCCTTTAATTTCCATGCGTTGCTATCCTGAGATATACAGAATGAATTTGCTACCCCCTCCACAAGACAGTTTTTCAGGTATTTACAGACAGCTCTCACATCCATTCTGGGAATTCTTCACTCCAAAGCAATTGCTTCTGGTTCCCACAATGGCTTCTCCAGTGAGATGTGTCCATCCCAGACCATTTCTGCAGACTGTCCAAAGAAGTGTCCTCTCGCTATTTTGAGCACTAGCATCCCCTACTGGAGAAGGGGTGAATTGCAGCAAATGTCTCAGTCCTCACCCGGATGCTTGAGGAGCTTCATCAGTACCTGGGTCATTGACAGATGGTCACAACTGCTTATTTTAAAGAGTAATCACTTTAGAATCATAGCTAGTTGCTTTCAATGTCCATCTTAAAGAGTGGCATGTGAAAGCCCTTATCAGCCGTGAGGTTCCTGCCAAGCTACAGGTTTGGGGCTTTTTTAGCAAAAAGGTTTGGAAGGATAGATTTTTTTTTTTAAATGCTATTTTATAGGATTAAGGAAACTGCTATTTTTTTTAATATTGTCTTTGTTTGTTGTAAAAAGTTAAAAGCAACCAAAAAGTTCTCTTTATTCCTTCCAAGACTGTTTAGCACCACCTGTGTATCTACACCTGGGAGATGCTGCCACCTCCTGGTAATGTCTGTAATTGGTCAGATGACCAGGTTCCCTATCACCAAAAAACCAAACTCACTGCTATGAAGTGGATTCGACTCACAGCGACCCCTCCTTGGGTTTCTGAGGTGGTATCTCTACCAAAGTATATACTTTGCCCAATCTTCCTTCCAAGGAGTGCCTAAGGCATTTGACGGCTAACCAGAAGGCAGGTTCCCCATAGATGTGGCTAACCAGATTCAACCAAAAGCCAAACCAAATGCACTGCCATCAAGGCCATTCCAACTCATAGGAACCCTCATAGGGTTTCCAAGCCTTTAAATCTTTATGGAAGCAGACTGTCTCATGGTTAGTGGGTTCAAACCACAGACTTTTTGGTTAACAGGCAAAAGCCTTAAGCGCTGCACCACCAGAGCTCCTTAGCTAGATTCAAGCAGCATGATTTTATCCTCACAGCCAGCGTTCTCCACATCATCCATGCCATCCTTGGTTCGTGCCACATTCAGGTCATCTGCTTGTGTTTCCTAACCTTACTTCTTGAGTCCATTAGGCCCACCCAACACATCACTGGTGTGTGGTCATGTCCCTCTGACCCCTGGACTCCCCAGCTCTTCCCCCTCACTCCATCCTGCCAGCACAGCCTCAGCTGCCTGATCTTCTTTCTGTGTGAGCCCAGAGAAGCTCCCAAAGATAACGAGTCAGAAAGACATCGGGATTAGAAAAACAAATCTCCATCTGAATGAAGATCTACGGACCAGCTGAGTCATTCCTCTCAAATGAGTTCACTGCTAACCAGCTTTACTCCAGCTCCAGCGTCAGCCATCAGCCGGGGCTCTCTCCTTCCACGCTGCGCTCTGGGGGACAGCTGGGCACTGGAAGACTCACCCGGCAGCCTCTCACTGCAGCACATGTCCAGGGCCCCTCCCTCGGAGTCATCAGCAGCGCAGTTCTCTCTCTCACTCCTGCAGCAGGATGAAAAATGGAAGATGATGCTGTTAAGCTGGAACAAGGCAAAACCCTGAGCAGAGATAAAAAAGCCTCCCTCTCCTACACTTTGCAAATTTTTGAATAACGTCACCCCATGAGGGGGATCTGAGGAAAAGATCAACCTATAGTGGGGCAATCTACTTCCGTAGTGATGATACTGCCTCGGAAACCCAAGGAGGGGTCACTATGAGTCGGGTCCCACTCGAGCGCACATAACAACAACAACATAGAGGGGTCAAGCTCCAGAGGCAGGAGCAGAATTTTGCAGGTGTCTTCCATGTGGAAGCATCAGCATCAGCATCAGCTCAACTATCACTACCACCACCATCACCATGGAAGGAGGGCTTACAAACTTTACTGATTCCTCGTCATGACCAAAGCGTTAAGGATCATAAAACATACTCAGAGAGGTTAAGAACTTGCCCAGGGTCACACAGCTAATAAGGGTGGAGCTGGGTGTCAAATTACAGTCTAAGAATCCAGTCTCATGCTGTCACTGTTGTGCTGTTCTGTCTCCTAGTGACTATGGGTTTGAGCCATGGGTGAGAATGGAGAGAGGTCTGAGTCACTACAGCCCTGTGTCCAGACCTCCAAAGCCTGCAAGTGCACAGTACCTCTAGGATTCATACAAGATCCTAAACAATGGAAAGTGTTATGAAAAACTCTTTTCCAGAAATTGCTAGAATAAGTAGCTATATACACACACACACACACACACACATACATATATATTTGCATATTCTCAATGTTCTATTTGCTTTAAAATTAGAAAACCCTCTTTCTAGTCCACCAGGACCCCTTGCTGGACTGTACTGGGGTCTATCTTTTCTTTTTTACTCACATGGATGGAAAAATGTTGGTGGGGATCAGCCAGACCCTATGAAGTGTCTGTAGAGACATCTTGAGAACAACTACACAGCTCATAGAGATTTCCCTGCTCTGGGAAAGGCCCAAGATGCAAGGTGTGGGCTCCAAAGGCCCCACTTGCCCTTCATGTCTCAGAACCCTGGCAGTAGCTGACTGATCCAGGGGTGCACACATAAACCAGGTCAGGTCGATCAGATCCTCTCCTCTGCACATTTGAAATGCATCCTGGAGGGCCTGGAGCCTGCAGCTGCTGGCACTGAATTACGGTAACTACAGTACCCTCAAGTGGTTGTGAACATCTGCCACTGAGGGCCTCAGAAGTGTTTCATTTCCACCTGTCCTGAGCCTTGATTGGGTCAATATGTCCATCAAGGCCATAAGATGCCCAAGGATCCTGCCAATAAATTTTCCACTTTAGCTTAAGCCAGGTGGATTTGATTTCTGAAGCTGGCAATTCAAAGAATCTCTAATAAAGCCTCACTAGCACCACACTTGCAAGAAGTCCAAGAGGTCAGCTGCCTCCCTTCCTCCCAGTCCTGCCTTTCTGAGTGGCCTCAGGCTCAGCTGAAGCTTTTGAACAATGAAGGGCAGACAGGCTGGGTTAAGGGTGGCCTTTCTCACTCCGACATGTTCTGCTCTCAACTGACATTGTGTTTTCACTTTTTTCCTTACTCCCACTGGCAGAATCTGTGAGAATCCCAAATCTCAGAGCCCACCTCTCCTACAGAGTGAGGGCTGCTGTCTTCAAGGCCCTTCATAAGTCCCCCAAGTAACCTCACTTATCTGTTCACCACCTCCAAAACTAAACCAAAACCAAACTCACTGCCGTCGAATTGGATCTGACTCATAGTGACCTCTCCTTGGGTTTCCAAGACAGTATCACTACGGAAGTAGATTGCCCAACCTTCCTTCCGAGGAGTGGCTGGTGGGTTTGAACTACCAGCCTTCTGGTTAGCAGTCAAATCACCTATCTTGATCCAAATCAACATCATTTCTCGCCTAGATTACTGCAGTAGCCTTCCAACTAGTTTCCAGCTTCTATTCAGGTTGGCCTCCAATATATTCACCACATAGTGACAGTGCGTATGGCTACACAGATTATGTAGTGTGAAACCTGCACAACTGGATGAGGCAGCCATGAACTAGAATCAACTCTTCAAATCCAACATTTATCATACAACTTTCCTTTTTAAAAACCAGTTCAGTGACATCCTATTGAACTTAGAATAAAGATTTAACTTTTTTTAAAAACATAGCTTACTGGGTCTTGCACAGTATACCAGTAATCAGCTCCCTTCTAGTTGATCGTGACTCATGGCAACCCAATGTGTGTCGGAGTAGAAATGTGCTCCGTACGGTTTTCAATGGGTGATTTTTCAGAAGTAGACTGTCAGATCTTTCTTCTTAGGCACATCTGGGTGGATATGAATCTACAACTTTTTGATTAGCAGCCAGGTACATTAACCATTTGACCATCCAGAGTTGCAGCCTAGCCTGTTTTTCCCACCAACCTTATCCCATGCCCTCTTCTCCTTGACCTTTGTACTCCAACCACAGTAGGCAGACTCCTCTTCACAGTGTCTTTGCATGTCCCTCAGCTCTACTTCCTAGGATTTTTCATTCATAGTGTTTGTTGCAGTTTAAACATTTTAAAATTTATGCCATTTTCGGATTAACATCTGTCTCAATCATGAAGGCAGGCGCCACCATTTCTGTTTTATTTACCATTGAATCTTCAAAGCCCAGCACAGTGCCTGGCTTTTTAATAAGTGCTCAATAAATACTTGTTGAATATGTGAATGCTGCCCTGATATTCTTCTTCTTCTTATTATTATTATTATTTTAGAGTTTCTTTCTTTTTTTTTTTTTAATTGTGATCTGGGTGAAGATTTACAGAGCAAATTCATTTTTCATTCACACTTTGTCTCATGACATTGACCACAGTTTACCACAATGCAACAGCTTCCCTCCCACTTCCTCCCCATAGTTACCTCTTCCCAGTGTCCATCCCTCCATGCACTCCTGCCCCCTGAGCTGTCTCCCTGTGCATAAGCAGCCCTTCTTTCTCCCATGATTGTTCTCTCCAAGGAGTGTATCTACCTGAGGTAAATGTTCAACTTACATGCCTGTCTTTTGTTTGGCTGGAAACCATGGGTATGGGTTCAATTCCAGACCTGAAGGGCAGCTAGGGGCCATAGTCTCAGTGGTTCCACCAGGCTCTATTGGACCAGAAAACATGGTCCCCCCACTTTTTTTTTTCTCCAAATGATTTTGAGTTTTGTTCCACATTGTTCTCCCTCTCTGTCAAGGATCTCCTACATAGATCCCCTTCCAAGTGGATGACAGTGGTAGCCGGCTGCCCTGATATTCTTGAAAAAACATCAAGAGCCTCAAACACAGCCCTCATCTGAGCTGTGCTGTGGCAGGTCTTTAAGTGGAACCATCATCCATAGCTGTTGCCCAGAACAGTCACAGATTTACACATCTGGGAGAGACTTCATTTTTGCAGAGGAGGAAATTGAGGAACAGAAAGGGGGTCTAGCTTGCTCTGCAGACTTGGTGGTCATGGAGATGGAGAATATCTACCCCAACCTGAGCTTTTTCTTTCTTTACCCTGGAGACCAACCCAGCTGGAGGGCAGCTCATAAGGGTTGGCCCCTAGGTCAGTAAAGAGTGGTAACCAAGGTATCCATATACCCCTGTAAGAGGACCCACCTGTGACTCACACCTGTTTTCACACCTTAAGCCCCCCAGGTCCAAGCCATGTTCAGAATAGCTCAGCGCTGCATGTGTGCAGCCAACTCTATAAATAAGCTTCCTAGAAAATGACTAATCTCATAATCAGGAAAGCAGAAGGAGTAGCACCCCTCGACTGCAAAGGAGAATGGAGCAAGAACCTGATTCTCTGTCCTGCAGTCAAAGGACTAGGGCTAGCCTAGCCAAAAGCCAAATGGTTAGGCTGTCAGGAGGGTTTTGATTAGATTTCCATAGAGAAGAGATGCCCCATTCAGCCCAGTCTCTGGGCACTGCCCTTCTCCCTCCCCAGCAAGATCAGAAATAGCTGCTTGCAGTGGATTGCTGCATGTTCCTTCTCCCTCCTTCTCCACTTGCATCTGCCAGGCAACAGGAGCAGAAAACTGGCCTGTGATAAAAGGCAGCAACTTGCTGGGCTGGCCACCCACTGCTGTGCTTGTTGTTGGTGGTGGTGTTATGTGCCATCAAGTCGGACCCAACTCATAGCAACCCCTTCTTGGGTTTCCAAGGTGGTATCACTATGGAAGATCACCCAACCTTCCTTCTGAGGAGTGGCTGGTGGGTTTGAACCACCAGCCTTCTGGTTAGCAATCAAGTGCCTTACACATGCAGCTCTTACAACCAGAAAACCCTAGAAGTAAAGGACTTGGACATCATTCAGCCTGTCCCTCATTCTCCCATGGAGAAGGGCCTGGAGAGGGACAGGACCCTCCCAAAGCCCCTCCCCAGCATGGAGGACCTCCTGTGACCAAGGCACCAGTCCAGGTCTATCTCAGGAACACAATGACTGCAAGCCAGGCTCCTCCTGGCACAGCTCCTAGTCTTCTTGGAAGAAAGACCTGCAAACATAACTGCGTGGTGGTACCTACTTAAACTAGCCTATGTGTGTGATATCTTGAGAGGGGCTCTGCTCAGTATGTGGTGAGAGGGGAGGGAGATAGAAAGTCTTTTCCAAGGGGAAGAAGGGAGTGATCCTTGAGGGATGTTGCCAGGTGGGTGAAGGGTTGTAAGGGAAAGAACTTCTCTAAAGTACAAGTAGCACGAACAAGACATGGAGACCGAGATGTGTGGAACATTGGCACTAACTGTAGTTTGGTGAGCAGCATGGGGAAGCAGACAGGGCTGGGGTCAGCAGAGGCACAAGTGAGAAGCAGATCTGGAGGCCAGGAATCCTGCCTCTTTGGTAGTGCAGCCCTCTTCCACTTGACCATGTGGTTTCCCCTACACCAAGAGGCATCACTGGCTCCCCAACCCTTGGCCTGGGCTGGGGAGGTCTGCAACAGGAAGAAAAGTGGGCAGCAGGGCCAGCAGCACGTGGTGAGGAATAAACATCAGAGCTAGTTGTGCCATCTGA